AGTCTCTAGGGCACGCAAATGAGTGGCAAAATCTGCGACAGTAGGGAAGGCAGCCAGGTCTGGGAACAGCATCGGAAAGAGCAAGCGGCCAGCAGAAGCGGAGGCAGGGGTGGAATAGCGAGCAATAACGGCGTCTAAATAAGCTTTGGCCGTTTCAACAGTAGCAAAACGCGAGCGCTCAGACACAGGGAGGGCGTGACTAATAGCAACCTGAGCTACTGCATCGCGTGAGTCCCAGACCGCACAGGCCAGCGCAGCAGTAGAGAAAGCCTCACGGTCATCAGAGGAGGGGTCAGCAGGGAGGGGAGTAGGTGCAGGGGGGCGGGGGAGCAAGCCATCAGCATGGACAACCAGAGAGTGGCCATCCTGGCGCTGACCTGTAAGCTGGCGGCGAAGATCGGAGAGCCAGGCGGCGAAGTCAACCGCGTGGCCCTCAGCGTCCAGGCGGAGCACAAAGTCAGCCATCGTGCAGGGTCAGCGGCACAGCTCCTCAGCGACACAGCGGCACAGCAGCACAGCTCCTCAGCGGCACAGGAGCACAGCGGCGCGGGGACACGGCGGCAGCACTCTCCAGTAGGGCAGCAGCTAGGCGTCCCAGCGCAGGCAAGCAGAAGACACAGGGCCCGAGAGGACACGGCAGGCCGAGCAGGGGAGGCGGGCAGGTGCTCTGGGGCCGGGCTGGTGCTGGGAGGGGCCAGGCTGGTGCTGCTGGGGCCGGTCGGGCACGAGGAGGGGCCGGGCAGCGCTGAGGAGAGGCCGGGCGGCGCTAGGAAGGGGCCGGGCGGCACTAGGAGGAGGCCGGGCGGCACTAGGAGGAGGCCGAGCGGCACTAGGAGGAGGCCAGGCGGGCGAGCGCTAACAGCAGGCGCGACAGGGGCCAGCGGGCGCGACGGGGCCTAAGGGGCGCGACGGGGCCCAGCGGCCACGACGGGGCCCAGGGGGGGCGCGACGGGGCCGAGGAGGCGCGACGGGGACCAGCGGGCACGACGGGGCCCAGGGGGGCCGCGACGGGGCCTAACGGGCGCGACGGGGCCCAGGGGGGGCGCGACGGGGCCTAGCAGGCGCGACGGGGCCTAGGAAGCGCGAAGGGGCCCAGCGGGCGCGACGGGGCCTAGGAGGGGCGCGACGGGGCCGAACGGGCACGACGGGGCCCAGAGGGGGGGGACGCGACGGGGCTTAGGAGGCGCGACGATGCCTAGGAGGCACGACGGGGCTCAGCGGGCTCGACGGGGCCCATGGGGGGCGCGACGGGGCCTAGGAGGCGCAACGGGGCCCAGCGGGGGCGCGTTAGGGCCTAGGGGTCGCGACGGGACCCAGCGGGCGCGACGGGGCCCAGGGGGAGCGCGACGGAGCCTAGGAGGCGCGACGGGGCCCAGCGGGCACGACGGGGCCCAGGGGGGGCGCGACGGGGCCTAACGATTGCGACGGGGCCCAGGGGGGGCGCGACGGGGCCTAGGGGGCGCGACGGGGCCTAGGAGGCGCGACGGGTGGAAGCGGTAGGCGGGGGGATCCTAACCTAAGCGTGATACCATGTTAACATAGAAACGAATGATTACTAGAGGTGGAAACCTAGAACAAATACTAGTTGGTTGTACTCACTAGAAGCATACCTCAGTCTAGCCTATAACTTCTACATAGATAATATGTATAAGTTGACATTATACACCATTCTTGCTTCAGCGTTTATTTTCACACCAAGGCTGTAATTTTCAGACAAGGAATATCAGCCTTTCTGCACAGGGGGGGGGCTGAAAAATCAGCCTACCGTATTCCCCGTATACAGCACCCCGCAAAATTGAACGCCCATGGGTGGCTTGAGCGGACATGGGTGCTTTATTAAACTGGATATACATAACACCCGTCTTTTTTGCCTGCAAATATTTGAACACCCCCCCGAAACCTTCAACCTTGCTTTTGAGTAGCATAGACGAGCGCTACCCTCTTTTCCAACCACTGCTGCTGTGCCATCACCTAAGCGTGAGAGCGAGTGGGAAACTTATGAAGGAACCTATACAGCGCGGTTCAAGGGGTGCGACACAGAAAATTTCGAGACCCATTTTGACTGCCCGAACTACTGTGTCCCTTCCCTTGAATCCTCCAAACTAAATGTTCGCTAGTTGACTTTTGGGTCGCGCTCGCCTTCCCGCCAAGAAAATCGTGCCATGCCTCCGTACGCGATGTCGAGGGGGAAAACAAAATACAGCAGAGTAGGACAGTGCACTTTGTTTAGGAGAAACAATATCACATATGCATGTTCCACAACACCCAGGCGTTATACAAAATTAGCCTCTAATTACACCCTCAAAATTTAGAGGCATTTTGGTTACCACCCTAGGGTGCTTTTTACGGGGGAATACGGTAAGTTCGCGGGGCTAGGATGATGAATCAGCGTGCCCGAACACCAATCTTAGGGCCTGCCTGCGACAAGGAACCATGGGTGGGGTATGTATGAGCTGGGCGTCTAGTACTGGACATGACAGAAACTTCTAAGGTGCACACAACTGCAGCTGCTGCATCTACTGTTGTTGCTGTTGCTGCTGCTGTTGTTGCTGCTGCGGCGGCTGCTGCTGCTGCTGCTGCTGCTGCTGTGGAGGGCGGGCGCCTTGAAACTGCACCATATCCTGTGATGATGGCGAGTGGAGAAAGGAAATCACAGAGGGAAGGAAATGAGGCGAGGCACAGAAGATGGTGAAGAGCATAAATCACAATGATGCAGGAGAGACGCGAGAGGTGCAAGAGCAGAAAAGGCAAGCGGAAGCCACGGAGGCACAGGAGGAAAGGCAGAGAGGCAAAGGATTCTAAGAACGGCATGATAGAGTGCAAAAGGAAGATTTTCCAGGGAGAAGCCGAGCGTAGCAGCACACACGTGTGCTCTTTGCCGTGCATACGCTGTGTGCTCTCACAGAGTGTTTGTTTATTCTAATCCACGGAAAAGAAAGAAAGAAAGAAGGAAAGAAAAGAAAAGAAAGAAAGAAAGAAAAAACAGAACTACTTTACAAAGCATATGTTCCTACTGCCGAAGGATAAACAAAACATCAGATGGAAGGGAAAATTACCTTGGGAAATAGCATGCCCACAAGCCGGCTGGAGCGGTCGGGAACAGTCCCCAGGAGGAGCGTTTGTGACGGCAGCTGAATGACGGTGCACTGTAGATGGATACATGTAGATGGATGCATGTAGATGGATGCATGTCGATGGATACATGTACATGGATGCATGTAGAAGGATGCATGTAGAAGGATGCATGTCCTTTGAATGGATTTATTCACATGTCCTCCCCCCTCACACACTCACAAGTCTTGCTATCCCTCACTTCCCCTCTCTTCTCACAAATTTCTGTTTGCTCTCAAACTTTCCTCACCGACCCGCTCACAGCTTTCGTCGATGCACGTGCTGCAGGTTTGCATTGCATGCATGCGCTGCAGGTTCGCATGCATGCGCTGCAGGTTCGCATGCATGTGCTGCAGGTTCGCATGCGCATGCTGCAGGGTCGCATGCATGAGCTGCAGGTTCGCATGCACGTGCTGCCGGTTCGCATGCATGTGCTGCAGGTTCGCGTGCATGTGCTGCAGGTTTGCATGCATGTGCTGCAGGTTCGCATGCACGTGCTGCAGGTCCGCACGCACGTGCTGCAGGTTCGCACGCACGTGCTGCAGGTTCGCACGCACGTGCTGCAGGTTCGCACGCACGTGCTGCAGGTTCGCACGCTGCAGGTTCGCATGCACACACTGCATGTTCGCATGCACGTGCTGCAGGTTCGCATGCACGCACTGCAGGTTCGCATGCACGTGCTGCAGGTTCGCATCCACGTGCTGCAGGTTCGCATGCACGTGCTGCAGGTTCGCATGCAATGACATTCGAAGTGTTTGAAGATGCCTCAAGCTCATCCCTCCCACACCACCTACCACCTCTCTCATCCACTCACCAGCCTCTGTCCTGCTCTGTTCTGCTCTGACCTGCTCTGTCCTGCTCTGTCCTGCTCTGTCCTGCTCTGTCCTGCTCTGTCCTGCTCTGTTCTGCTCTGTCCTGCTCTGTTCTGCTCTGTCCTGCTCTGTCCTGCTCTGTCCTGCTCTGTCCTGCTCTGTCCTGCTCTGTCCTGCTCTGTCCTGCAGAAACACATGTCACGACATGCGACGCATAGAGGTGCGTCAACATTCACATCTCAACACTCGGTGGACTCTCTCCCATCCACTCACTAGCTTCTTCTCGGCCATCTGCTGCAGAAACACATGCGACGACATGGGCCGGAACACCAGCAGCTCGGCTTTGCCTGCTAGCTCCCTGGGTTGGTTGGTGATGGGAAAGGGGAGGGAGAGCAAAGAGAAAGAAGAGACAGGCAGAGCAAGAGGGGAGGAAGAGACGCTTCAGGAGAGAAAAAAAAAGGGGCCAAGATAGCCAAACCACAAGCGATGGCATGAGGCGGAATACCAGCAGCTCGACTTTGCCTGCTAGCTCCCTGGATTGGGTGGTGAAAGGAGGAGAAGTGGGAGGGAGTGAGAATGGCGGAACAGGGGGGGTGAGTGGCACACTGGACTTGGGGGACGGCTGACAAGAATGGAGGACGGCATGGTGGTGACGAATATAGTGAGTGGTATGGCTTGGTGACAATTCGATATTGAAAGTAAATGGTACAACGTACTTGTTATTCCCTTTAAATCCACTGCAAAATTACATGTATCTTGTGACGGGTGCTGCTTACTTGTTATTCATGCATTCCTGCGACACCAGCCGGACTATTTGCATGGTGTCCGGCCAATCAGCTGCAAGGCTGTGAATAGGCGTGAATGGGGGAGGGAAGGGCGGAGGGAAGGGAGAGAAAGAGGCAAGACGGTCTATTTGCATGGAAAAAGACGAGCCTACCTGCACTCTGCTGTAAGCAATCTTACAAAAGCAACGCCACTACAAAGATCAGAGTCAAGTCGAGTGCGCACAAAAAAATAATAGTTATAAGTGGTCACACACTGAAAAACAAAACATAAAAAATGTGTGATGGCATTTCACCACTATCAAGGCATGGGACGCAACAGAAAGGAGCGTTTTGAGATAACGGGGATGATTCTAGGTTCTCTGAGACACGTACTTGGGAGGTGATGTTGCTTGGTGGTAACCCTGACATTTACACATTCACAGGCACACATAGGCGCGTAGATATACAAAATCACTAAAATTGGGTCTTCATTTTGCAAAACTCCAGGATAAAACGTTACAACCCAGAGGAGGAGCATAATTTGCAGGAACTACAGAAAATGCAAAAGACGTTGTAACACAGAAATTTGCGCAAAGCTTGAGTGCACTGGGGAGTTCCACCTCACATGTGGGTTGAGAGTGCAAAGGCTTCCCCACATGCGTCTCTTGCTCATAGCCAACGGCGCACACTTCTCTTTCTTCTCCTATCCAGGTTCCGCCCTCAACTCCTACTTGTTCAGCGCTCTTGGCACGTTGATGGCAGCTCTTCGCACTCTCACCTCCATGCAGCAGATGTCACCTCCACGCGGCAGATGTCACCTCCACGCGGCAGGTGTCACCTCCACGCAGCAGATGTCACCTCCACGCGGCAGATGTCACCTTCACGTGGCAGATGTCACCTCCACGCGGCAGATGTCACCTCCACGCGGCAGATGTCACCTCCACGCGGCAGATGTCACCTCCACGCGGCAGATGTCACCTCCATGCGGCAGATCTCACCTCCATGCGGCAGATCTCACCTCCATGCTGCAGATCTCACCTCCATGCTGCAGATCTCACCTTCATGCTGCAGATCTCACCTCCATGCGGCAGACCTCACCTCCACGCGGCAGATCTCACCTCCATGCGGCAGATCTCACCTCCATGCGGCAGATCTCACCTCCATGCGGCAGATCTCAACGGACTTGTCCTTGCGCTGCCCCATGAGAGTACCCTGAGGCCAGTGGGAGGATACGGGAGGAACGGCATGATATGTGGCATGGCTTGTCAAGAGCCACGGAGAGAGATGCTCACAGGCACTCTTCCAATGGGATGGGAGTAGCCAGACCATTCAGACTCTATAACGTGTATGGCGATACGTGCCCAGTGAAGCGCATGCACTGCTGCAGCACATGGAGATTAGAGGTACAGAGGCTGTCACGCTGAGGGTAGACGGGCACTTCAGGAAGAGATGGCTGAACCAGGGGGTAACGACGGCAACGAGTCCACAAGATGCAGGAGCGCAAGTCAAACGGGAGGGGTAGAAGGAAGAACACACGAACCTCCTACAGCTTGCAGTACCGTGGTGGCTGCCCAGCCCGCTGCACACCCCCTGCAGCAGCAGCATCAGCAGGTCCACATTACTCGGCCCTGAGAAAAGGCACAGAATCACTTCCACAGCTTGCAGTACCGCGGCCGCTGTCCTGGCAGCCTCGGACCACCTTGACGTGCTTTCAGGTCGACTCAAGAGCGGACTCACCCTTGCACTAGCAGCAGCTGTGACCCGCAACAGCCCTGCCGGCACGATACCTGAACAGGAAGGCCAGGAGGAAGAATGTGCGTTCCCTGTCGAAAGCTAAGAGAAAAAATGCACACACCTCCCACAGCTTGAGATACCGCGGTGGCTGCCCTGGCGGCCTCGCACCCCCCGCACCAGCAGCAGCAGCAGCAGCTGGGGCGCCAGCAGCAGGGGCAGCAGGAGTAGGCTGAGGCCCACCAGGGGCAGCAGCAGCTGCAGGTGCAGCAGGGCCAGCAGGGGCAGGAGCGCCAGGAGCGCCAGGAGGCTGGCCCACAGGACGAGCACCCATGGCTGGCCCAGGCCCCGCTGCTCCTGCTGCAACTGGTGCGCCGGCTGCACCTGCTGCTGCCCTCCCTGCTGCCGCTGCTGCCCCTGCGGCAGCAGCACCTGGAGCGGTGGTTTGCTGGCCTGGCACGGGCTGCCCTGGAGCCGCCACACCCACCCGCTGCATCCCCACTGCCACTCCTGGACCTCCAGACCCTCCTGGCCCTCCTGGCGCCTGCCCCTGCCCCTGCTGGAACTGTGGCTGCGGTGGCCGCTGCCCCTGCTGGAACTGCTGCTGCTGCTGGGAAGGGCCGCCCATCTGCTGCTGCGGCTGCTGCTGCTGCTGCTGCTGCAAGGGAGGCCGCTGCCCCATCGGCATCTGTCCTCCGGCACCCACCGCTCCAAGCCCTGTCTGCCCTGCCATGCCAGGACCACCCCCATCGCCCCTCCCATCGGCCCTCCCCCCCAGGCCCCGCCACTCTCCTTGCCATGCCGGCCATCCCTGCCTGTGCCGCCCCCCCACCATCGCCCCGGCTGCTGCCCCTCCGGCTCCCATGCCTGCCCCAGCAGCACCCGCCACTCCTGCCTGCCCCGCCCTCCCCTGTGCCCCTGCTGCCATGCCCACCCCTCGCCCGCCCATCCCTGCTCCCGCAACTGCTGCTGCTCCACCGTGCGACTCTCCCACCACGTCTGCTGCTGCCACCGGCCCTCCACGGCCCATGTATCCTGCTACCGAGCCTACTCCCGGACCTACTCCCGGACCTGCACCCCTGCCTGCTCCTAGCATTGGGGCAGCTCCTGGCTGGGCAGCCGCCAAGCTTGGTCCGCCTCTGCCTGTCATTCCTACAGGTGGCCCTCCGGGGCCTCCGACAGGTACGGGCATACCGGGCCTGGCCATCTGAGGTCCGGGGGCAGCTGCGGGCATGGCTGCACCCACACCTGCTGCTGGTGCTGCTGCTGCTGCTGCTGCTGCTGCTGCCATGCCCATAGGTGTGGCTCGGGGAACCATGCGGCCTCCTGGACCACTAACCATCTGGAGAGGCTGCTGCTGCTGCTGCTGCTGCTGCTGCTGTGGTTGTAGGGGCACTCCTGCCTGTTGCACTGCTGCTGTTGTTGCCACCCCAGCACCACCACCCAGTGCCACTCGCCCTGGGCCCCCACCAGCAGCAGCAACAGCGGAAACAGCAGGAGCGCCTGGTAGCGCCCCTGCCGCAGCGACCCCTCCGCCCTGCCCCATTCCCATGGGCCCAGCCTGCTGTGCTGCCATGCCTCCCCCTACCCTCACCCCAGCAGGCACAGCCACACCCGTCTGCTGCTGCTGCTGCTGCTGCTGCTGCGGCAGCAGCTGCTGGTACGGCTGTGGTGGTTTCTGCTGCGGGTTGGGGAAGAACTGCGGGCTCGGACTCGTGGTGCGAAGCGACGGCACAGGGCTAAGACCCACAGCTGCAGCAGCAGCACCTGCAGCACCAGTTGCACCAGCAGCAGCAGCAGCAGGGCCGGCAGTTCCAGCAGCAGCCACACCTGGCCCAACCCCTTGCCCCCCAGGCATGCCTCCCCCTGGGCCCAGGGGTGCCCCTCCCCCTGCTGCAGCAGCGGAGGGGAGTTGCTGGGCGCGCATGGGCTGGGAGGGGGCGGGGGTAGCCGGCTTGGCAGGGGGCTGCTGAGGTGCTGCGGGGTAGGTGGGCTCCTGTGAAGGGGGTGATGTGAGATAGTGAGAGGAATGCGTAAGCATGTTCGTGTGTGTGACTTTTGAGGTGCCTGAAAAGGCAAGGGCAACAGGCTTGGCAGGGGGTTGTTGAGGTACTGTGGGTGGGGTAGATAGATGGGCTACTGTAAGAGAAGGTGGGTGAAAGGGTGAGAGGAATGCGAGTGTGTGTGTGTGGGTGTGTGTCTGTGAAACTCAATGTTGGAGCAAAAAGGGCGAGTTGAAGGCCAGCAATATTAGAGTGGTTACCCCTGGAATTCACTCTACACTCCTCACCAGCTCTTATCCAACAGCTGCGTTGTTTCCACACATGCGCGTGCGCACCAGACTAAAGATGAGCTCAGCACACATATGGGAGCTCTGTGCTCCTGACCGCTCACCTGCTTAGGCTGGCCCAAGGGAACTCCAGGCTGTGGCACGCGCCCTGCAGGGATAGAGCAGGAAGAGAGCAGGGATAGAGCAGGAAGAGAGCAGGGATAGAGCAAGAAGAGAGCAGGGATAGAGCAGGAAGAGAGCAGGGATAGAGCAAGAAGAGAGCAGGGATAGAGCAGGAAGAGAGCAGGGATAGAGCAAGAAGAGAGCAGGGATAGAGCAAGAAGAGAGCAGGGATAGAGCAGGAAGAGAGCAGGGATAGAGCAAGAAGAGAGCAGGGATAGGGCAAGAAGAGAGCAGGGATCGAGCAGGAAGAGAGCAGGGATCGAGCAAGAAGAGAGCAGGGATAGAGCAGGAAGAAGAGAGAGGGGGGGGGGGAGGGAGAGAGGGAGGGAGGCCCGTTAGAGAGGGTAGGTGCGTGACCAACTGTCCTCCACGTGTCATCAGTGCGTGTGCTATCAGTACCTACCTAACCCAGGCGCACCTGTCCCAACCATACCTGCTGCTGCTGCAGCCATTGACTGAGGCGTTCCTGCTGCTGCCACTGCCCCGTGACCCCCAGCAGCAGCAGCAGCAGCACCAGGAGGGCCTACCGCCTGCACCCCACGTGGTGCGCCCTCATTGGCCCCTGACCGGTGCAGCACGCTGCGCGCCTCCAGAAAGCCCTCGGCTATTAAAGCCAGGTGGTGTGGGTGGTGCCGCGATGCATCCGCTACCGGCTCCGCTGCCCGTGGGTTACGTTTTGCCTGAAAAGGGGCAGAGGGGGTTGGGAGGGTCTGTTGTCTCCATGGAGCCTCCAGAAGCCCTCCGCTCTGGGCGCCAGGTGGTGCGCGTGGTGCCGCAACGCGCCTGCCACTGGCTCTGCTGCTCGCAGGCGACGCTTGCCCTGGGGGGGAAGGGTAGGAGAGAAAGGGAGGGAGAGGTGAGGGAGAGAGGGAGGGAGAGGTGAGGGAGAGAGGGAGGGAGAGAGGGAGGGAGAGAGGGAGGGAGAGAGGGAGGGAGAGGTGAGGGAGAAAGGGAGGGAGAGAGGGAGGGAGAGAGGGAGGGAGAGGTGAGGGAGAGAGGGAGGGAGAGGTGGGGAAGAGAGGGAGGGAGAGAGGGAGGTAGAGAGGGAGGGAGAGAGGGAGAGAGAGAGGGAGGGAGAGGTGAGGGAGAGAGAGGGAGGGAGAGGTGAGGGAGAGAGAGGGAAGGAGACAGGGAAGGAGAGGTGAGGGAGAGAGGGAGGGAGAGGTGAGGGAGAGAGAGGGAGGGAGAGGGAGGGAGAGAGAGGGAGGGAGAGGTGAGGGAGAGAGGGAGGGAGTGAGGGAGGGAGAGAGGGAGGGAGAGAGGGAGGGACAGAGGGAGGGAGAGAGGGAGGGAGAGAGGGAGGGAGAGGTGAGGGAGAGAGGGAGGGAGAGGTGGGGGAGAGAGGGAGGGAGAGAGGGAGGTAGAGAAGGAGGGAGAGAGGGAGAGAGATGAAGGAACTAGCTTGGAAGAGAAAAGATTGAATTGAGTAGGGAGCCAAGAGGCTCTTTTGTACAAAACAAGGAGCAAGGAAGAGTTGGAAGGGAAGCTCTCCTATTGGCCATATAGTGGACCACTGGGAGAGGTTGCTTGTAGGGCAAGCAACCACAAAGTGTTGTGCTCTCACCCCAACCGATCGGCGCCTCGCATACCTTGCAGCATCGCGCCCCATCCTCCCCCTCTGGCTGTAAGAACATCCCCTGCATAAGCCCAGGGACAGTACCCCAGTATCCGACTGTCACCTGAGAGCTGTCGCTCGCTCGCGACCGCTTATGCTGTCCACCCGTGCCCCCTCCCCCCCCACGTGGGATTTCAGGCCGCCCCGGCGCAGGCGTACCACACTCCGCATGACCCCCCTCCCCCACGCCCTCAGCATCCCCAAAGCGCTCTGCATCCCCACCACCGACCTCCACTCCCCCCACACCATTAGTGCCACTACCGGCACCAATCGCCCCTGCCCTCCCCCCACCAGGTCCACCACGGCCGCAACCTCTTCCCCTCCCCCTCCCCCTTCCCCTGGCCACATTTTTTACTAATGCGGGTGCTGTAGTTAGGTGGCGCGACTATGGTAGGGACCATACGAAACTAGATCTGCAAACTTGGGGTAGAAATTTCGACCAAATGGTCGAAATTTCCAACCCTTCCCAATTTTGATCGCGCTGCTGCCGACGGGTAGCAGCGCGACCCGATTTCGGGTCGGGTCTACCCGACCCGAAATCGGGTATTTACCCGAACTCGGGTATGTAATACCCGAACTCGGGTATGTAATACCCGAACTCGGGTATGTAATACCCGAACTCGGGTATGTAATACCCGAACTCGGGTATGTAATACCCGAACTCGGGTATGTAATACCCGAACTCGGGTATGTAATACCCGACCCGGCGGGTACTCGATACCCGCGTCGTCGGGTAGAATTTCGGGTAGCGGGTATCGAATACCCGCCCGGGTAAACCCGGACCCGACCCGCCGGGTATTACTCAGGATTTCAGATACCCGACCCGCCCTAAAAGCGGGTCCAGGTACCGGGTACCCGACCCGGTCGAGTAGTTTGCTCAAGCCTACCCGAATACGAGGTCGAGTCCGTGCTTGCTCACCGCCGTCGACGGAATGGCACCGTGGAGCTTCTCATTCGTTGGAAGGGTTATGATCCTTCTGAGGACAGTTGGGTCTCTGAATCCGAGATGGACCATGCTCATCGTCCTCTTCGCGCCTACCTTGTCAAGCAGGGTGTTACGTCGACCACCCAGCTTTGAGGGGGGGAAGTGTGAGAGTACGACCCCGTTCCATTCTCTTCTCCTTTCCATATTCCTTCTCCATTTCATTCCTCTTTTTATCTCATCTCATTTGGTTTCTTATTCTCCATTTTCCATTATCCTTTGGTTTATCCTGTTATTATCATTGTATCACCGACCAGGCTCGGGATGTACAGGTGCACTATATCTAGCGTAATCCTGCCGTAATCCCTTAAAGCCAATAGCCTCGCGTGGCTATACGCAGGGTGATTCTATTTTCTAGAAGGGTCTATTCCCTTGGGATAAGATAAACCTGGTTACCGGATGTACTCTGGAAGTATAAAAGCGTCTTGTACTGATCGATAGTGCAACCTTTCCTCGACAAATTTGATCCTGTGACACCGCCTCTCCCTGGAGGTACAGGGGGCGCGGTACGCGGAGCTGCTGGATGCTTCTCGCGAGATGGAGCTGAACCCCCTCATGGGCCATACTCAGCGGCTCCTATCACTCACGGGGTACGGGGGCGGGGGATTGGCTCCTCGCTGTCCCGCTAAACCCGTCCCTCCGCCTCGACCCCAACATTTCGCCTTTGCCCTGGCCTTCCGCATAAGCTCCCCTGCCCAGCCCCTCGGGTCTGCGACTGCGCTGACAGATACACGCTCGAGGACCCGCGCCTCCCTAACCACCTCCTCAGGTGCGGGACCGGGCATGGCCGCATGAACACCCACAACGCCCTGCGTGACGCTTCATTCGTATGGCACAAGACGCGGAGTTCATCGTGCACAAGGAGACGACGGTGTTCAACCCAGTGGACGACCTCACAGCCGACCTGGCCATCCGACTCCGGGACTACGGTGCGGTGTGGATCTGCGGTGTCACCATCACTGACCCCATCAGCTCTCGCGACCCCACGGCCCGCAAGGGCAGAGGATAAATGGCCCGGGAGCAGGACAGGAAAAAAGTGCACCACTACCGCAACCGCGCGGCCTACGTGGGCCTGTTCCCCTTGGCGGTCGAAACCTACGGCTGCCCATGCGACGAGGTCCCCCAGTTCCTGAAGCTCCTGGCCCACATGGCCGCCAGGAGGCTCTTCAACGCGGACCCAACCTCGTACCAGGCAGCGAGATTGCTCCAGCAGTTCCGCCAGCGCTGGTCGATCACTCTGCAGCGCGCCCAAGCTATCGCCTACCTGGAGAAGGTTCATGAGGCGGCGGTAGCTGACAACCCCCCAGTCGGCTGTCCCAGGGCCGATTTCTTCCTAGGGGATTGTTTTGCCATTCTAGAGCCCCGGGCCGAGCCGCCTTCGTGGGCTCCATCGGGGGGGAGAGGGGTACAGGGATCGAGCTTGTGTAAACTCTCCTTTTGTCTCGGTTGTACCCCGGTTCCATTTAATACACGGATCGCTTGAGAGGGAGGGAGAGAGAGCGAGGGAGAGGGAGGGAGAGAGAGGAAGGGAGAGGGAGGGAGAGTGAGGGAGAGAGAGGGAGGGAGAGAGAGGGAGGGAGAGGGAGGGAGGGAGAGAGAGGAAGGGAGAGGGAGGGAGAGAGAGGGAGCGAGAGGGAGGGAGAGAGAGGGAGAGAGAGGGAGGGAGAGGGAGGGAGAGGGAGGGAGAGAGAGGGAGGGAGAGGGAGGGAGAGAGAGGGAGAGAGAGGGAGGGAGAGCGAGGGAGGGAGAGGGAGGGAGAGAGAGGGAGGGAGTGGGAGGGAGAGGGAGGGAGAGAGAGGGAGGAGAGGGAGAGAGAGGGAGGGAGAGAGAGGGAGGGAGAGGGAGGGAGAGGGAGGGAGAGGGAGGGAGAGAGAGGGAGGGGGAGGGAGGGAGAGAGAGGGAGGGAGAGAGAGGGAGGGAGAGGGAGGGAGAGGGAGGGAGAGAGAGGGAGGGAGAGGGAGGGAGAGAGAGGGAGGGAGAGGGAGGGAGAGAGAGGGAGAGGGAGGGAGAGGGAGGGAGAGAGAGGGAGGGAGAGGGAGGGAGAGGTGAGGGAGAGAGAGGAGGGAGAGGGAGGGAGAGGGAGGGAGAAAGAGGGAGGGAGAGGGAGGGAGAGGGAGGGAGAGGTGAGGGAGAGAGATGGAGGGAGAGGTGAGGGAGAGAGTGACGGAGAGAGAGGGAGAGAGAGGTAGGGAGAGGGAGGGAGAGGGAGGGAGGGAGAGGGAGGGAGAGGTGAGGGAGAGAGAGGGAGGGAGAAGGAGGGAAAGAGAGGGAGGGAGAGGGAGGGAGAGGGAGGGAGAGGTGAGGGAGAGAGAGGGAGGGAGAGAGAGGAAGAGAGAGGGAGGGAGAGGGAGGGAGAGAAAGGGAGGGAGAGGGAGGGAGAGAGAGGGAGGGAGAGGGAGGGAGAGAGAGGGAGGGAGAGGGAGGGAGAGGGATGCGGCACGCCAGGCGGCACGGCAGGCTGTCTCGCCATCAGGCTGTCTCGCCATCAGGCTGTCGCGCCATCAGGCTGGCTCGCCATCAGGCTGTCTCGCCATCAGGCTGTCTCGCCATCAGGCTGTCTCGCCATCAGGCTGTCGCGCCATCAGGCTGGCTCCCCATCAGGCTGTCTCGCCATCAGGCTGTCTCGCCATCAGGTTGTCGCGCCATCTGGAAGCCCCTCGGAAATGAGTGCCACGCGCCGCGATGCATCCACCACTGGCTCCGCTGCTCGGAGGCTACGTGTCGCATGGGGAAGTGAAGGAGAGGGGGCTGTGAATGGAGGCAGCCTGTATGCCATGATTCGAGGCGCATGAGCGCGCGAGGGAGTGCCTTGAAGTGACAGTGGTGGAGGTGATCCAAGTGAAAGGTGGCTTACTGTGACGTATAGCTGCCTTAGTTGAGGCACGTTGCGAGGAGTGATGAGAGACAGAGTCACGTAGAGCTGCCATGTCATGCCATGCCATGCCATGCCATGCCATGCCATGTGGTTTCATGCCATGCCATGTGGTTTCACGCCATGCCATGTGGTTTCATGCCATGCCAAGTGGTTTCACGCCATGTCATGTGGTTTCATGCAATGTCATGTGGTTTCACGCCATGCCATGTGGTTTCATGTCATGTCACGTGGTTTCATGCCATGCCATGTGGTTTCATGCCATGCCATGTGGTTTCATGCCATACCATGTGGTTTCACGCCATGCCATGTGGTTTCATGCCATGCCAAGTGGTTTCACGCCATGTCATGTGGTTTCACGCCATGTCATGTGGTTTCACGCCATGCCATGTGGTTTCACGCCATGCCATGTGGTTTCATGCCATGTATGTGGTTTCATGCCATGCCATGTGGTTTCACGCCATGCCATGTGGTTTCACGCCATGCCATGTGGTTTCATGCCATACCTTGTGGTTTCACGCCATGCCATGTGGTTTCATGCCATGCCAAGTGGTTTCACGCCATGTCATGTGGTTTCACGCCATGTCATGTGGTTTCACGCCATGTCATGTGGTTTCTTGCCATGCCATGTGGTTTCACGCCATGCCATGTGGTTTCACGCCATGCCATGTGGTTTCACGCCATGCCATGTGGTTTCATGCCATACCATGTGGTTTCACGCCATGCCATGTGGTTTCATGCCATGCCAAGTGGTTTCACGCCATGTCATGTGGTTTCACGCCATGTCATGTGGTTTCACGCCATGCCATGTGGTTTCACGCCATGTCATGAGGTTTCATGCCATGCCATGTGGTTTCACGCCATGCCATGTGGTTTCATGCCATGCCATGTGGTTTCATGCCATACCATGTGGTTTCACGCCATGCGATGTGGTTTCATGCCATGCCAAGTGGTTTCACGCCATGTCATGTGGTTTCACGCCATGTCATGTGGTTTCACGCCTTGCCATGTGGTTTCACGCCATGCCATGTGGTTTCATGCCATGCCATGTGATTTCATGCCATGCCATGTGGTTTCACGCCATGCCATGTGGTTTCACGCCATGCCATGTGGTTTCATGCCATGCCATGTGATTTCATGCCATGCCATGTGGTTTCATGCCATGCCATGTGGTTTCATGCCATGCCAAGTGGTTTCACGCCATGTCATGTGGTTTCACGCCATGTCATGTGGTTTCACGCCATGTCATGTGGTTTCTTGCCATGCCATGTGGTTTCACGCCATGCCATGTGGTTTCACGCCATGCCATGTGGTTTCACGCCATGCCATGTGGTTTCATGCCATACCATGTGGTTTCACGCCATGCCATGTGGTTTCATGCCATGCCAAGTGGTTTCACGCCATGTCATGTGGTTTCACGCCATGTCATGTGGTTTCACGCCATGCCATGTGGTTTCACGCCATGTCATGAGGTTTCATGCCATGCCAAGTGGTTTCACGCCATGTCATGTGGTTTCACGCCATGTCATGTGGTTTCACGCCTTGCCATGTGGTTTCACGCCATGCCATGTGGTTTCATGCCATGCCATGTGATTTCATGCCATGCCATGTGGTTTCACGCCATGCCATGTGGTTTCACGCCATGCCATGTGGTTTCATGCCATGCCATGTGATTTCATGCCATGCCATGTGGTTTCACGCCATGCCATGTGGTTTCATGCCATGCCAAGTGGTTTCACGCCATGTCATGTGGTTTCACGCCATGTCATGTGGTTTCACGCCATGTCATGTGGTTTCTTGCCATGCCATGTGGTTTCACGCCATGCCATGTGGTTTCACGCCATGCCATGTGGTTTCACGCCATGCCATGTGGTTTCATGCCATACCATGTGGTTTCACGCCATGCCATGTGGTTTCATGCCATGCCAAGTGGTTTCACGCCATGTCATGTGGTTTCACGCCATGTCATGTGGTTTCACGCCATGCCATGTGGTTTCACGCCATGTCATGAGGTTTCATGCCATGCCATGTGGTTTCACGCCATGCCATGTGGTTTCATGCCATGCCATGTGGTTTCATGCCATACCATGTGGTTTCACGCCATGCGATGTGGTTTCATGCCATGCCAAGTGGTTTCACGCCATGTCATGTGGTTTCACGCCATGTCATGTGGTTTCACGCCTTGCCATGTGGTTTCACGCCATGCCATGTGGTTTCATGCCATGCCATGTGATTTCATGCCATGCCATGTGGTTTCACGCCATGCCATGTGGTTTCACGCCATGCCATGTGGTTTCATGCCATGCCATGTGATTTCATGCCATGCCATGTGGTTTCATGCCATGCCATGTGGTTTCACGCCATGCCATGTGGTTTCATGCCATGCCATGTGGTTTCATGACATGCCATGTGGTTTCATGCCATGCCATGCCATGCCATGCCAATCAATGAATGTCAGGTCGTGTGTGAAGAAAGGCAGACAAACGGCAAGAGAAAGAAAGAAAGATGGGGAGGGGGGAAGGAGGGAGTGAGGGGGGGGGGAGGACGTGGTTGAGTGTGAGGGCGGGATGTTGAAGGGAATGACGCCAATGTCATTGATTGGATAACGATCCCCTTGCCATTGAGTACAACAGAAAACGTTGAGTGCATGGAATGGCATGGAATGGATGAGATGGAGATCCCACCAAGCCTCCAAACATGGCATGGTGGGTATGGCTGGATGAGGAATCATAACTGGCTCAGGTAGGGATATCATCAAACACATGCCCCCACCCCCCTAGCTCACTGAAGTAGCAAGAAGGAGCAGGTCAAAATTGTGAGATAAAGTCAGATGCAGTCAGATGTAGTCAGATGCAAGGTAGTGCTTGACTGAAGCTGACCTGATCACACTGGCAAAGCGCACCAACCAAGGGCAATCTGGCAGGCAACAGCCAGTTCACAAAGGAAGTATCCCTGGTGCTGCTGTGCGCCTGTGCAACTATAAAAGTGGGCAGTGCTCTCATTGTCAGACGTGAGGGGTACGGTAGGAAGGGGAGGGGAGAGACCATACCCGGGGGTAGGCGAAGAGAGGAGCAACATTGTGGGCAGCGTCAAGCCACCAGGCAGCAGGCTCCCACCCCCCACTGCCAGCACCACTCACAGCAGCCCCCAGCACTTGCAGCAGCCCCTGGTGTTCCCCCACTGCTACCAGAATCAGCAGCAGCAGCAGAGGGCGGGGCCAGCTTGACCATGGGGGTGGGCAGGCGGTGGGGAGGCGAGGAGCGAGGACTGACTATACCTGGGGGCGGGCGAAGAGCGAAGCCACCATGTGGGCCGAAGCGAGCCACCACGCAGCGGCCTCCCACGCATCAGCACTGCCGGCAGCAGCAGGTGCAGGGGCCCCTGCTGCTGCCGCAGTGCCATCAGCAGCAGCAGTGGAGGGCAGCGGTGGCTTGACGACGGGGGTGGGCAGGCGGTGGGGGGGCGAGGCAGCCACGAGCACCACGTGCTTGCTGCGCTCCAGCCCCGCTGGAGGGGTGGTGGACACCGGCGAAGGGCACAGCATCTGGGTTGGGGAAAGGGTAAGAAAGGGGAAAGGGGGGTGGGGGGGGAGTGCGGAATAACATGTGAGGTGAGGTGGTGGGGAGGCGAGGCTGGCACGAGCACCACGTGCTTGAGACGATCCACGCTGGGTGGAGGGAAGAGTTGGCCGATGGTGAGGGAGCGAGAAGGGGAGGGAAGGTGGGCGGTGAAACATGTAAGGTGTGGGGGGGACGCTGGTGGTGGTCAGGGCAGAGCAAAGCGTCTCGGAGGGGCATCTGGGGGGAGCGTGCAGGGGGAGCGTCCGGGGGAAGCGTGTGGGGGGAGCGTCCGGGTGGAGCGTGTGGGAGGAGCGTCCGGGTGGAGCGTCCGGGGGAGCGTGTGGGGGAGCGTGTGGGGGGAGCGTCCGGGAGAAGCGTGTGGGGGGAGCGTGTGGGGGGAGCGTGTGGGGGGGGCGTGTGGGGGGAGCGTCCGGGGGAAGCGTGTGGGGGGAGCGTGTGGGGGGAACGTCCGGGGGAAGCGTGTGGCGGAAGCGTGTGGGGCGTCTGAAAAGGCAGCATGAGGTACTGAGAGAGTGCCTGATGCATGGCTGTGCTCTCCTCACACTCCCACTGCCGCTCGCCACCACCATAGAAGAACACCCTCTCACCCTCACTTCCTCCCACCCTCACTTCCTCCCACCCTCACTTCCTCCCACCCTCACTTCCTCTCACCCTCACTTCCTCTCACCCTCACTTCCTCTCACCCTCACTTCCTCTCACCCTCACTTCCTCCAACCCTCGCTTCCTCCCACCCTCGCTTCCTCTCACCCCCACTCACCAAGAGCGCCTCCGAGAGCCCCTCGGCCACGGCAGCATCCGCCGCGCCTCCCCCCGAGAAGGAGAGGGTGTCCAGCCACGAGAGGAAGACAGAGGGCGATGGCGTGAAGGACGTCTGGTGCAGAAGACAGGCTGCCATGGGTTGGGAGTGCGGGGAGGTGGGACGAGGTGGGAGAGAAGGGCACTGGTGCGTTCTGAGGGTGGGAGAGAGACGGTAGGAGGGGAGAAGGAGGGTTGGGAAGAGAGATTGGGAGGTGGGAGCGGGATGGGGGGTTACGCAAGGCAGGGCTGTGGGGGTGAAAGTGGAGAGAGTGGGTCGGGCCAATGGCGCAATGGGGTTAGGGTGGCCTACAGCATAGCGCAACGAAACGCACCTGGGAGTGCTAAGAGAAGGAGATGCAGCTGCACATGCCCACCATAACCATGCCATCGTGACCATCCCATCATGACCATGCCATCGTAACCATGCCATCATGACCATGTCATCATACCCATGCCATCATGACCATGCCATCATAACCATGCCATCATGACCATGCCATCATGACCATGCCATCATAACCATGCCATCATGACCAAGGCAAACAAATCAAGAGAGGCACAACATGCACGCATACGTGCACTACAACAACGTGTGATGTACTACAACAACGTGTGATGCACTACAACAACGTGTGATGCACTACAACAACGTGTGATGCACTACAACAACGTGTGATGCACTACAACAACGTGTGATGCACTACAACAACGTGTGCTGCACTACAACAACGTGTGGTGCACTACAACAACGTGCGGTGCACTAAAACAACGTGTGGTGCACTACAACAACGTGTGATGCACTAAAACAACGTGCGATGCAGTACAACAATGTGCGATGCACTACAACAACGTGTGCTGCACTACAATAACGTGTGGTGCACTACAACAACGTGCGGTGCACTAAACCAACGTGTGGTGCACTACAACAACGTGTGATGCACTACAACAACGTGTGATGCACTACAACAACGTGTGATGCACTACAACAACGTGTGATGCACTACAACAACGTGTGGTGCACTACAACAACGTGCGATGCACTACAACAACGTGTGATGCACTACAACAACGTGTGATGCACTACAATAACATGTGATGCACTACAACAACGTGTGCTGCACTACAACAACGTGTGGTGCACTACAACAACGTGCGGTGCACTAAACCAACGTGTGGTGCACTACAACAACGTGTGATGCACTACAACAACGTGTGATGCACTACAACAACGTGTGATGCACTACAACAACGTGTGATGCACTACAACAACGTGTGATGCACTACAACAGCGTGTGATGCACTACAACAGCGTGTGATGCACTACAACAACGTGTGATGCACTACAACAACGTGTCATGCACTACAACAACGTGTGCTGCACTACAACAACGTGCGATGCACTACAACAACGTGCGATGCACTACAACAACGTGTGATGCACTACAACAACGTGCGATGCACTACAACAACGTGCGATGCACTACAACAACGTGTGATGCACTACAACAACGTGTGATACACTACAACAACGTGCGATGCACTACAACAACGTGCGATGCACTACAACAACGTGCGATGCACTACAACAACGTGTGATGCACTACAACAACGTGTGATGCATGTACAGCACAACCACGCACCTGAGAAGGCTTCTTGCGAGTGGTAGTCAACAAGTGCAAGCTCCAGTCCATGTGAACAAGGCAGACAGATGCAGAGAAGAAACACAGGACACAACACAATAGCATGATGATGCACATACAGCCAAACCACGCACCTGAGAAAGGCCCGTGCGAGTGGTAGACAACGAGAGCCAGCTCCACCTGCGGTGCTCCTGCTCTCTGCCAGGCAGTCAACGCGGGTCAACGGCAGTCAAAGGGCATCGATGGCAGTCGGAGACTACCAGTGGAAGACAAGGGGGTCAACGGTAGTCAACACAGGTCAACGTTGCAGGCTGACAAAAAGTCAATGGCGGCAGACAAAGTGTGTCAATGAAAGTCCGACTGGAGAAATCACAGAAGAGCAAGAAGCAATGAGCATGCGTTGGGGGGTTACGAGGGAGGGTGGGGAGAAGGACGGGGGGGAGGGAGGGGGGAGGGAGGGGGGAGGGAGGGGGATAGAGGAGAAAGGAGGAGAAGCGGAGGGGTGACCTGAGAGAGTGTGTCGATGCCACAGAAAGCCCTGAAGAGAGGGAAACGGGGGGGAGGGAGGGGGAGAGGGGAGAGAGGTGTGAGCAGGAGGAGCGAGGGGAAGAGGGAACAGAGGTGCAGGGAAGCAGCGGAGGGGTGACTTGAGCGAGCGAGAGTGTCGATGCCACAGCCCTGGCGCAAGGGGAATGCGGAAAGGGGGGAAAAGTGGAAAAGGGAGGGGGGGGAGGGGGGGTTGGGTGTGGGTGGTTTGAGAAAAGTGAATGGGACGTGGAACCGGTGGGGAATAGGACCGAGAGGCAGGTGTGGCAGAGTCGGACGGGTGGACGGAGTGAGTGTTATTCGGAGGGAAGTGGCTGGCAGGCATGGGTGCAGCCACCACCGAAAGGGATGCCCGCTATCACATGGTGGCTCGGGTAGCTCAGAAGAGCACATGGAGTCACGCGGCGATGACTGTCCTCCACCATATGCCCACCAGCACGGCATGGGGCGATTCTCCCGCTACCCGCGTACCCTTGACCGCGACCGCCTGCCTTTCGTCTTGTAATTTCCCATCCCCTATCTGGCCCGCACTCTGTAGATATGGCATCAGCTGTAGGCATGTGCCGCCAGCGTGGCAGCTGGCGATTGGACGCGTGCGTATGGGTATAGAGCGGAGCGGAGGCGAGTGTTGCCGGGTGACTATAGGAGCACTTGTCTGTGAAGGGCGCCCGCCGCTCCTAACAAGTGGACCCCTTGAAATGCGAGCTCGACCTCGCGTCCACGAAGGCCATGGTACCTAATAGTGGGTGTGGATAGAACCTAGCCAACAAGCACGGAGAGCGCACTTAATATGCGGGTCCAGGTACAGCCTTCGCAGCAGCGCCCACGACGACCCCAGGCTCGCCGTCCCCTCACCACCACCACCACCAGCTGCTTGGGGCCAGCAGTCTAGAGTGTACAGTTGAGTTAGAGAGTTCAAAACAAACGCACCTAATCAGAGGATCGAGGTACAGCTTCCTAAGCAGCGCCCAGGACGACCCCAGGCTCGCCGTCCCCTCCACCACCACCACCAGCTGCTTCGGCGCGCGCGCCTGCTGCTGCGCCTGATGCGCCTGGCTCTGCTGCTGCTGCGCGGCCTGTTGTTGCTGTTGCTGTTGCCTATGCTGGTACTGCTGCACCGGTTGCTGCTGCATTTGATGCATGCCCCCCACGCCTGCCGGACTACCTAGCGTCACAGCGGCCATTCCCACCGCCACGCACGCACTCGCTCAACGCGGCTGCTCCTTGCTCCCGTTGCTCCCGTCGGTCCGGTTGCTCCCCTCGGCCCCGTCGTTCACGTCGCTCCGGAGCGCTGACAGGCCCGCAACGCGGCAGCTGTAAGGCGGGAGTTATGGGAAGCGCACTGGAGCGCTTTCAAAGAATCAATCTCGCACAGCCAGTCGCACGACTAACTAGTCGCTCAGCTACTAGTCGCACAGTTAACTTTTCGCGCAGCTAATGAGTTGTACAACTAACTGGTCGAAAGAACGAACGAATGAATGCGGAGAACAAGTCCTCCGCGAAGGGCGCCATGAAATGGGAACTGGACCTAGGGCGCGTTCTTTCTGCCATGTGTCCCCTTCTACCTGGAACACTTTGAACTGTAGGTACAAGTCATATGCCTTGTAGACGACCTTTTACGCCCAGGAGTACCCCATAGGCATTTAATCCTTTAAGGGCCACTCCTTGTACGCAAAGTGTACACGTCTCAACTTAACAGTAAATTAGACAGTCAATTTTGCTTATCCAAGGCCGTCCAATCAGTTTGCTCTTGTGTTTTCAGTGCGACCACACCTAGTGGTCGGCGAGCCTCTAAAAATCCAGATGTGTCAGGCTCGCCAACCAATGTCGAGGGAAAAATCCAACTGATGCGCTAGATACGACCAGCTCGCTAACGGTCCAGTAGAATTACGCCTGCAACGCCAACGGAATCCGTCGGCATTGCCCCAGGAAAATCCGTCCACCCACAGCCAATAGGAACGCGCCAAGGAACGCGCTAAGGAATCTGACATTCTCTTGAAACGCGGAGTTGATACACAGGTGGAGAGGCTTGCGATGTGGCGATGTTCACTCAGTCGCTGCATACGCCAGTCAAGCCGCCCATGCACAGTACACAAAAAACAACGCCCCATTTCCTGGGGAAACCCCATAGTCCACGTTGCCCCTATCGTACGGCCAGTATTCGTTAAAAGGGAAATCTCTCGCGTCGCCCCCCGGGTGCTCAGGGAATATGACATGTACTAGGTGTAAACAGTCTCCATTCATGATGACACAAAAGATGTAGAGAGTGTTCTGGATATGTGGTTTTATTATTCTCGGCATGTAACCTTTGCAAGGAATTTTCCATTCCCTGACGCGTCGCACCTCTAACGCGTACACCGACCCCACACGGCACCAGCATCCGCCCTAGCTTCGACCCGAACACGGCACCAAACCATTTCCGCGTCACTCCGAAGCGCTCCGCGTCCTCGGATGCCTTTGCCGAACCTGTTCAATCATACGGCTATGATTGCTCTAGTGTTCCTATGTCTTGCTTCGTCATTCCATTGTACAAAAAATTGTTATTCTGAATTTCGACATTTGATTCCGCGGTACTCTGATTAAACACTCATAGCATCTGGTATTCAAAGCTACTTTCCTGACCTACCCGTTTCCATAGGCGGAAAGCTTTTTTCGGGGGGGGGGGGGGGGGAGTGATTCGCCCACTGAGCTGCAAAGCGGTCGGGCGCGAATTAGCCGACTTAATTCGCCCGACTACGATAGCGTTCGCGCTATTACCTGAGCACGGGTAATCACGGATATTCCCCTGCCCACACGGCGTAGTGTCTGCCACATGGACCAGGCACAGTTTGACGAGTTGTTGGCGAAATTCGCCGCCACGGACGCTCGCCTGCAAACTGTGTTAAACGATAACGGAAAGCTAGAAGCAAGAGACTACACGCCAGAAGTCGCCCGCACTTGAGGACGCCGCCAGCACTGGACGTATCGAAACAGTATTGGACGAAATTGCACGCGAAGTGTTCAGCGCCTGCAGCAGACTCGTCTCATTGCCAAAGGCTCTATGTGCGATTTTTTAAAACCCGAACTGGAGTTTTTGGGGCACGTTATTTCGACGGAAGGCACGAAAATTGAGCCCCGCAAAATTCAGGCAATTCAGGAATGGAAGTCGGCGACCAACCTCCAGGAGCTACAATCGTTTTCGGGGTTCATCAATTATGGGCGCCAGTTTATGCATAACATGGCGGGGTTAATTGAGGCACTAACCGACCTACTTCATAAGGGCATTGTTTATCAGTGGGGGGAGAAGCAGCAAGCTGCGTTTGACGGATTAATAAATGTTTCAATCTCACCACCAGTACTTCGTATTGCTGACCCAAAACGACCATTCGAGGTCATGACTGACGCAAGTGATATAGCAATCGGAATAGTTCTGCTACAGGATTTCGGTGACGGCCTTCAGCCAATCGCGTACGAGTCGCGAAAGTTACAGTGGGCCGAGCGAAATTATCTCGTACACGACAAAGAAATGCTGGCGGTCGTGCACGCATTCAAGATCTAATGATGCTACCTGACGGGAGCTGACGTGACTGTACGAACAGATCACAAATCCCTACAATACTTGCACGCGCAGCCGAATCTCAACCCGGGTCAGATACTCTGGTTGGATTATCTGGATTCAAACTTCACATATCGAATCACGTACAAGAAGGGTGCCAACAACATCCCTGACACCCTCTCCAGACCATCTGCCCAAACCGCCGCTGTGCTAATCACCCAGACGAACCCGTTGCTAAGCGGGCTATTCATCCACGGATATTCGACCGATCCACTTTTCGTAAACAACGGCCATCAGCAGGTCACGACTGCGCAGGGAGCCTATTACGTAATCGGGAACGGAATGAATCTGGGTTCCGAGTTATCGTCTACTTCGCGAATTACGCATTCAAGAAGTCCACGATTCAAACCTATCGGGACATTTCGGGGTTGACAAGACTCTGAAGGCACTGCAACGGTTTTATTACTGGCTATATATGATTTTGGACATGCAAAAGTACGTGGGCACGTGTTCGATCTGCCAGACGTTAGAATCATCACGCAAGCGATCAGCAGGATTGCTGCGGCCCCTCGAGCCACCCCAGTGAACTTGGCAACACGTGACAATGGATTTTGTCACCGACCTGCCAGCCGGACCAAGTGGAAATGAAGAGGTCCTTGTCGTTGTCGGCCGCCTTACGAAAATGGCTCATTTCGCGCCATGTCGCACGACGATCACAGCCGAAGAAACCGCGCGTCTGTTCATCTCGGCCGTCGTTCGTGTGAGAGTATGACCACGTTACACCAATTTCCTCTTTCCATGTTTCTTTTATTTTTTATTCCTCTATTTATCTTGCTTTATTTGGTCTTTATCTCATCTCATTTGGTTTCCTATTCCTCACTTTCCATTATCCTTTGGTTTATCCTATTAATATAGTTATATCACATACCAGGCTCGGGATGTACTTGCGCGCTATATCTAGCGAAATCCTGCCGTAATCCCTTAAAGCCAGTAGCCTCTCGTGGCTATATGTAGGGTGATTCTATTTCTAGAAAGGTCTATTCCTTTTTGGATATGATAAACCAGGTTATCTGATGTACTTTGGAAGTATAAGAGCTCCTTGTACTGAAGGATAGTGCAACATTGAGCAAACCTCATTCGATCCTGTAACACTTGGTAATCAGAGCCAAAGGTTTCAGCTCAACGCTTAACCGCTGGGCCCCTTGGAGCACGCCAAGGATGGAGTCGAAACTTCAATTCCTATAAGCACAATGCACTTTCATTTAAGTTTTGATTAACCGCGTGCAGTTGCACCAGGGGTCCCCTACGAAGGCGAGATGCCTCGCCAACCGTTCGTTGAACTGCATCGATGGAGCCGTTTTTTCGCGAGGGCAAACGGCCTTGACCTCGGGAGCGCGTCAGTTCTGGCGCAACACTCCCTGCGATATTCCAAGAAGTTTGCAGCTCGCCACGACTCTTGGAGTTGCGCCGAAATGTGCAGAGTTGCGACTGACGACATACACTGACGGAAAGTATTGTCCACATGTTTGTGACTTAGAGGAATTTTGCCATTTTAGGGGGTCGTGGACATTAAGCCTTAATCTTCTGGTGTGCCTAGTGTATGTAGGTTAGGGTAAGGCTCTACGCCCATGCCTTACATCACACAAGTATAATGATGTTTACAACAAATACCAGAAAATAACAATCTTGGTACATGTGGACAATTATTGCCAGGCGCAAGCAGCAAGTTACATCAACCCCAAACTAGTACCTAATCCACCGCCCTCTCGCCTTAGACACCGCCCTCACCCTCCTGGGCATGCTTTCCACCAGGTGGGTGCACACATCCGCTGGGATCTTCTCCCATTTCTCCTGCACTCACTCCCAAAGGTCTAGCATACAGTGGGAGGCTTATAAGGCTTGGCCAGCTGCCTCTTGAGATGAGCCCATAAATGCTCCATTCGGTTGAGGTCGGGTGAGGAAGACGGCCACTCTAGCACCCCTGAATCTTACTCTCAAAGCCACTCCTGTACGATACGCGACTTGTGCTTCGGGTCGTTGTCACGCTGGAAGATAGTTTTTGAGGGTGTAAGCTGGTAAAGCTCAATCGTACTGTTGAGATCGTCCTGCAGTATACTCAGCGAGAGCAGTCCATCCACCCTACCATATGTTTTGCTCATGAAACCCGCTCCCTTTTACGACATGCAGTCGTAAATTATCAAGCAACCGCCCCCGTGTTTGACGGTCTGCTTGATTTGGTGTCTTTGGAGGGCAGTCCCTTCGTGAACGCAGGCGTATGAGAGTCAGTTGGATGCAAGACGACCGATCTTGGTCTCATCCGCACAGAAAACGCGCTTCTAGTCGTCGACCGTCCAGTCTGCGTGGGCATGCGCCCATTCCAGCCTATCGCGTATGTTTTTCCGAGAGTGTCGCGGCTTCTTGGGATGCTTGATTGCGACAAGTCGGCTCCCATTCTAAGCATTACGCAATGTCTTAGGATGCAACGTGATGCCGTGCTGCTTCTCAACGATTTTCGCCACGTGAGCGGAGATTTCGGCCTCCTCGAGGGTAATCGACCGAACTATGCCGCGGCGAACTCTCTCTGTCACTAAGCGAGGGCGACCGGCTGAGGGCATCGTAGGACGCACGTCATCGCGGGTAGACTCTACAATCGCCTTGATGGGCCGAACTCTTCCCTATGGCTAGCTGTTTAGCGATTCAACGATTGCTCTACCCCCTCCGCAACAAGGGAATGATCTATGCGTAGAGCGCCTCATCTAACGGTTTCATGACGGCCTAATCATCGCAGCGGTCCTAGCCTATCTCCTGACTACTCGATAGTCGCGAGGGCAAGTAAGAAGAAATAGCGAGGTTAGGAAATAGATCTACTACGCTGCTTGGCCTAAATTGTCCGGATGCACTCACGCGGACGAAATCTCGTCCTCGGTAAAAAATCGACCCCTATAAAACTGAAACCAGCATCCGTCACATACAGTACAGTACTACTTTACATCCAACCCCGAAATTTGATTCGTAACTAAACAAAGAAGGCACCAAACCAGTACGAGAAATGTTTTAAGGCAATTATCTGGGCAATACTTTCCGTCGCTGCACGTCCGAAGGAGATTCGACGCTTCAAATTGACCGAGGCGAAAACGAAATCATTCTGAGCGAGTTCGAGTTTCAGCGTGAATGGGAACGAGACCTCGCAAGCCCCAAAATTTATCGAAGAGTCTGATCGTTTGTCATTCGAAACCGACGACCACGAATTGCTGCAAGAAACGAGTCGACCCTAACACCAAAAGCTGCTGAACACGACTCAGGAATCTTTTCATATCGCTTGGAGTTTGGACCGTCGGATCGACGTCTGCTTCAACGGACGAGATGGAGCACGACTTCTTCTTAAAGGGAGAATGACGTGTCGAACAGAAATGTTGCCACCTTCGACACCGTTTATATCATCTTGACAGCCAATTTCGGATTCCTCCAATTGGTTGGGAATTTGGCGCGCAAGTCATCTGTAGAGTCAGAAATCTGCCAAACAATTACCTTCCGTACTTGGTAATAGCTGCAAACAAAAAACTGATAGGAGAATGTGAATCATCGGATCGGAGCGGAATTAATGGCACGAATGCAGTGAAAACTACCCTATGGAAAATCATCATTATGGTGACAACCTTCGTGACCAGCGACTGCACAATCGACGCATCTTCTGACTAGTGTTGATAGCGATCTACTTATTTTGACGAAGGTATCTTCGTTCAATATGGATTGACATCAACATTGCGGATCTTCATCCTGGAAAAACAATGAAGCTGCGTGAAGACATGTTCTCCATCCACGAGACACTTCTTCACATAAATTGATCGACTAGCTATGGTATTGTAGAGAAGTAGCCGTTTTCACTTGCAATATTCCCGATATCAACTTGCTTCGAAGAAGCAGATTTCGCACGCAACGATGAAGCAGTGAACCCATCTCGTCAAGGCCGGCGAGACACTACTTCGTAACAGGAGCTGACCGATTCGTCTTCATCAAGAATCTCAGCCATCCGAAGGGATTGATTGGTGCAGTCTCAACATCAACCTCACGAGGGGACACACCAATCATGCGTCGCGATTCTAAGTGTTAATGGCCTGCGTAAAAAATCCTTCTATGCATGTCACGATGCTTGATAGGTTGATGAGTAATTAACATCGAATCCGGCAAGTATTTGTTCATTAGCGAAGCTACGTCACATGCATTGGAGGCGATTCTACCAGAAGCCAACGCGTTACAAGCATCAGCGGAACTTCGGCGATGCAAGAGAACGCCAAGCAACACGATGTGTCAACAAATGAGGGAGATGTGGACTACTATAACACGATAGAGCGCTCTACCGACCGCACATCAGAGGCACGGATGAGCATACCAGAAATTGCTACCCGTGGACACATTGAGGGGAGAAGCAAATTTCTCTTGATACCCTCAAATGAAAACACCATCGGCAGCAATGGAGCAACACATGTGTACTAATGTGCTTGTGTTCCTGGTAGTTACAGTATGCCTGTTACACCCATCAGGAACACTCTACTGGGAAGAGGGAGTTGATGGATTCTCCTTCAACCATTACGAGTTGAGAGAATTCTCTGCAGCAGCTGCCGCCATCGCCATTATCGTTACTGCCGCCGCCGCCGCAGCAAAAGACTCGACACAGCACTCACAACCAAATCCTAATGGATGATTCTCCGCTCAATGGAGATAGTGTTGGATTATATTCCAGTAGGATCATATATGACCAGGCCAGACACAATACTATGATTTCCAGCTAGTGGGAAGGAGATACCACTATGCGAAGGAACAACATGGCAACACCATATACTCTCAAAAGTAGGAGATATTTGTTCTTATGAGGATGGGAGAACTACGGTAATCTACCAACATACAAGTCCTCGTGGCCTATGGCTTTCCTTAAAGTCATAAAACCTGCGTCGCAACCAATCTATCACTAGCACCACCTCCACGGAAGCAGATAGACGTAAAATGGAGCAGTGACGCCACTCCACATAGTGGACTCCGCGTATCTCCAACGACGCCCCCATTTGCCGAAACAAAGGAGATTCAACAATGATGCTGAGTAGCTGAGACGTCTTTAACATCAACGCTACGTCAAGGACAGTAACTGAATAAGACAACACATGATGGCACTAGAAGACCTATCCCAATATGTGTGCCCTGACACCGATGCATACTAATAGCCTTTGTGCTAAACTGGAAGTGCATAAGGTCATACTGGATTGACTGCCATCAATACCCACTTGGAAATGGGAGAGGATTATTTGGGAATAGCCCTAATATTCCCAGATGTCCTAACACATTACCGTGGGATATCTACGCAGCTGAGATTCCTTGCTTGAGCAACCACTGAGGGAAACTATTTTGGCACCGATTCTTGAAGTTACCAGCTCCGTGTTTATGGTATGAACCCATTGCATGGATTTGAACACAAGGGATATGCTGAGCAGCACTTCGCATGCACTGTTGTACTCAAGGTAGTGTGACTAGCGGACCGCGCGGTGGACAGAGTTACTACTAGTGATTTTGCTCTCCATCCTGTAGCACTACGATGCCGAGAGGGTACGACACGCGACAACACTAAGGCATGGACAAGCATTCGATAGAAGGTGCATGCATTAGTAGCTGCACTGCTACGGAAACAACTACAACAAACCCCAACACTTGGAGATCTTCACACGTGGACAAGATGCGGGTAACAGCATGCTCACTCCACAGCAACAGACAGTTCTGGTTACAGTCCAACTCGCTTACGATTTCATCACCATCGTCCACCATCTCAAAGATCGACCACACAAGCGCCTCTTGGACATCCAACAACAGCAGAACCACTTGGCCGCTCATCACTACCGTTATCCAAACTGTAATCTCGATATCACCCATTTTCATGCAAGCTTCAACCTTGCTTTTGCGGGTCTATCATCGTTAAAGCAGATGTCACTTCAGTCACCTTGCGCTTCCGCCTACCAGTCACTTAGAAGATCCATAATGTCTTCCATACCAGCTTCTTAAACCCTATCACGCTCTATACGGAATGCCAACCACCGTCACCGCCTGTGTTCGTCCATAATGAATCTAAATATGGGGACTATTACGTGCTCGGACACCGTCGTCGTTAGAATGGCACTCTAGAGCTTCTTCTTGGCTAAAAGAGTTCTTATCCTTCTAAGGCATGGGTAACGCCCGTCGTCCTCTTCGCGACTACCTTATCAAGCAGGTTGTTACTTCTACCACCCAGCTTTGAGGGGGGGAAGTGTGACAGTACGACCCCGTTACACAAATTTCCCCTTTCCATGTTTCTTTTCTATTTCATTGCTCTTTTTATCCTCATTCATTTGGTCTTTATCTCATCTCATTTGGTTTCCTACTTCTCATTTTCCACTATCCTTTGGTTTATCATGTTGTTATAATTATATCACATACCAAACTCGGGATGTACTGGCGCACTATATCTAGCGTAATCCTGCCGTAATCCCTTAAAGGCAATAGCCTCGCGTGGCTATATATAGGGTGATTCTATTTCTAGAAGGGTCTATTCCCTTTGGATAGGATAAACCTGGTTACCTGATGTACTCTGGAAGTATAGAAGCACCTTGTACTCATGGATAGTGCAACATTGAGCAAACCTTATTCGATCCTGTGATAGTTCGCCTGCATGGTATTTCTGCGGCGATCATCGACGATAGATACCCAAAATTTCCTTCGCGCTTCTAGCAAGATACGTGGAACCGATACGGCACCCGCCTACAGTTCTCATCCATCTATCACCCGCAAACCGGCTGTTAGACAGAAGAGACGTATCAGACCATGGAACAATTAATCGTACGAATTGCCCGAATATCAGCAAAAGGGAAGATTCGTTACCCATGCTGGGGTTTTCCTAGAACAATGCTCCCTCCGCCCTGACCAATTATTCGCCTTTTATCCTGAATCACGTGACGGATCCGACGGTACCTATTTCCACTAGCGTCGAAAGCCAAGTCCCCCGCTCACAGCATTTCGTCGAAGACCTCCGAGCCGCCCGCACAAAAGCCATCGAATTTATCAGAAAAGCCAATGTCACTGCCCGCCAATACGCCGACCGCCACAGACGAGATACAGTTAAAAATTCGATCCCGCTAGTGTGGACCTTTAAAAATAATCAAGATGATAACGCCAGTGAGCGCCCATCTCCGCCTGCCTGACGACTGGAAAATTCATGATTCCTTCAATATCAGCCTCCTTCGTCCTTTTGTTGCCGACACGTCAAACGTCGCCTGACAACTGATCGTCCGGGATCTACGGCCAACCGAGGAGACGCTCATCGAACTAGCGGAGATCCTGGGCCATGGTGTAAGAATCAACGGTCAGGAACGACAAGCTGACTTTCTGATACGATGGACTCATCGTATCAGCGAGGATGACGCGTGGGTTCCCTCGGTACAAGTACAGTCGCCTACTGTACTCCGGGATTATTTATCCCGCAAGCATGTCGCAAATATAGACCACCTTCGCTAGAGGGGGGGTAGTGTAAGGAATTTTCCATTCCGTACTGCGCCGCACCGCTAACGCGTATACCGACCCCACACGGTACCTACATCCGCCCTAGCCTCGGCCCGAACACGGCACCGAACCATTTCCGTGTCACTCCGAAGTGCTCCGCATCCTCGGATGCCTTCTTCGAACCCGTTCAATCACATGGCTAGGATTGCTCTGGTGTTCCTATATCTTTCTTCGTCATTCCATTGTACCACATTCTGTTATTCTGAATCTAGACATTCAATTCCGCTCTACTCGGATTAAACACTCATAACGACGTTCATACAAGGCCCCTTGTAGAGCGAACATACTGCTGAGCACAACCAACACCCCTTCCATGTCTCGTCTCGCCTCAGGGCGAGCCGCTACTTAGATCCCCGAGTCCTCCCCCAACCCCATCGTCCGTCGCATAAAATCATCGGCATAGCTCCAAGCCGGCTGTCGGCCATGTGTGTCGCAGCAGCGTCGCTCAGCGCTCACTTCTTATCTCTCGCCGCGAGGCCGCGACATTCCTTCATCCGATCGTTCAACCCGCTCCTCAACCCGCCTTTTGCCAGGCGTCGCGTCGCTGCACCCGCGATCAGGTCCCCCTCCGTCGTGCGCGCCATGGCAGATTCGCTAAGGGCGGATAGAGCGACCTCGCTAGAAGGCAGTGCGCGCGATTCGACCCAAATCCTGCCGTCCTGGGCGCAGAGAACGCTCTGTCCGGCCGGCGACGGTTGCGGCGACGGCGAGTGCGAACTGCTCCACGTGGACCCCACGTGGCGCGACGTGCTGGCGAGCCGACACGTGGCGCAAGGAGAGGGGAGGAGTAGCAGTAGTGCCAGACCGCGGCTGATCGTGTGCGCGGGACCAGAGAGGTCGGGTGCGGCCGCCAGCAATAGCGTCTCGGCAGAAAGTGCTTCATCTGAGCTTGCAAGCCCTCCATTCGCCCGCTTTCATTTCGCTCCGCTCCATTCTCACAGTGCCCGCGAATGCCCCATTCCAGTGAACGCTCCGTTGAGGTTTCTGTGTTCCCCATACCCCGAACTTGAAAGTTCCCCACCCAGTCGCCTCCTCTGGGCATCCGCACCGCATCTTCTCCCTGGAGGCTCGAAACCACAGGCTTCAACCTCCACCCACCCACCCTTTGCACGTCCCCTCACCACCCCACTCCTCCGCCCCCCCCCATCACCTCTACCCCTCCCTGCAGACTCCAAATTTCACACTCCAACTCTCCCCTCTCCCATTCCCCCCCTGCAGGCTCCACGTGGCTGTTCAACGCTGTCCGTCTGCTTCTCGCCCACTCTGGCCAGCTGGCGCTCTCCTATTGGCTGCACACCGTCACTGAGAGCAAGCTAAGGGCCAGGGGACTCACCGCACTGGGCAGCAGCGGACATGGGGGGGAGGGGGGAGGAGGGGGTGGGGAAGGGGGGGATAGGGAGGGCGGCAGAATGGTAGTGGGGGATGGAGTAGCGGTGCAGATGGGTGGAGAAGCGTGGGGAGGAGTGAACGTGGTGGTGAAGACGCACGAGTGGTCGGAGGAGTGGGAGGCTGGGGAGTGGACGAAGCAAGTGCTGGTGACTGATCGCCATCCCTGTGATGTTGTTGACTCGTACCTCCGTGTCGGCTGGCTGCCCCACAGCATGCCGTGAGTCCGTGGGCTTGTTACCACATACGCTGCCGTGAGTCAGTTTGCTGGTTACCACACAGGATGCCGTGAGTCAGTGGGCTGGTTGCGTTGCCACGCAGCATGCCATGAGTCAGTGGGCTGGTTACCACACAGCATGCCATGAGTCAGTGGGCTGGTTACCACACAGCATGCCATGAGTCAGTGGGCTGGTTACCACACAGCATGCCATGAGTTGCGTTGCCCAACATGCGTGACTGCGTTTGTCTCGTGGACCGACTGAGAGGGTAGAGTTGCGCTGCCACCAATCTCTTTCCGCTGGATGCCCCTCTCGCACCTGCACCTGCACGCATGCAGCCAGTCGCATCAAGGCCCGTCTGCGCTCCTGCGCGCGCGGCCACTGGCTCTGGGAGACCTGCCCTTTCTCCTTCCCTCCCCACCACCCATGTTCGTTCGTCCTCCCTCTCTTCCCACTGCGCCCTTCACCCCCATGAGCACCCCGCCATTCTCATCACGGCCCTTCTGTACTCCTACCTGCGTGGCCACCACTAGAGAAAGTGCGCTGCTTTCCTGATCCCCTTCTCCGCATGTCCTCTCTGCCTCTGGACTATCTGTGAGATTAACTCTGCCATGCCCACGCCTTACCTCCCATCTCCTCGCATCTCCTCCCATCTCCTCGCATCTCCTCCCATCTTCTCCCATCTCCTCCCACCTTCTCCCACCTTCTCCCACCTTCTCCCATTGTCTCTCCATCACCCCAACCCTGCAGGTGCATCAAGGCCTACCTGCAGTCCGACCTGTCCGACCACCACCACTGGAAGCAGCAAGGTGCTCTCGTCATCCCCTTGTGCTCATCACCCCCGTGCACTCCCCTCCACCCCATCCCTTCCCCTCTGCACCCCTGCAGGCACATCAAGGCGCATCTGCAGTCGTACCTGTCCGACCACCGCCGCTGGAAGCAGCACGCGGCTCTCGTCATCCCCTTCCCCGCCATCGTGCCGCCTGGGAGCGACTCTGAGCTGCACTGCCTCTCTCGCCTCGCCACGCTCCTGGGGCTAAACGTACAAGGGTCGGCGGAAGGGCCGGCGAAAGGGTCAGCTGAAGGTTCGGCGAAAGGGTCGGCTGTTGAGGTGACTGAATGTGGTGCTGGACGAGGGCGGGGTGGTGGGAGGGCAGTGGATGTGCGTGCCGTGTCAAGAGCCCTTGCCCAGCTCCCACTTCCCACAGGTATGACCTTTCACCCATCTCCCACCTGGGCCATCTCCCAGCCATCTCCCTCTGTTACGCCACCGCCCCCCCACCCTCCCTCCCCCACTCCTTGTCTGTCCCCCTCACTTGACGCTGCTCCTCCGTTTACCTGCCATCAACAATCACTGCGCTCTGGGGCGGTGACCTGGTGGCCAAGCTGTCGCTCAACACTCTGTTCCAATCCGGCTTCAACATCCCCGCCCCGCCCCTCCTTCTCCCTGCACTGCAGGGTGGGGCCCTGACCCGGTCACCAAGCTGTGGCCGCGTCACATCCGCTCGTCCCCCCACCCCAGCAGGCGAGCAGCAGCAAGGGGGCTGACACGAGAGGAGCGGGAGGAGGTGCAGCAAGTTGTGTCAGTGTGGCTCACAGCACCTCCTAAGTAGACCCACCCGAGTGCCCAGCTGTGGCCAGGGAGCACCCTAGCAAGCTGGGGTCAGCAAGGGGGTTAACACGAGAGGAGCGAGAGGAGTGAGAGGAGCGAGAGGAGCGAGAGGAAATGCAGCAGTTTCTGTGAGCGCTCACAGCACCTCATATGCAGCCTGAGGATCAAAGCCAGGCTGTGGCCAGTGCACACCCTAGCAGGTGCGGGCCAGCAAAGGGGCGTGCAAAGCGGAGGTGCAGCAGTTGTGTGTATGCTCTCAGCCTGCCACGAGCATCTACACAGCAGCCTGATGTCAAGTCGTGGCCAGTGCACACCCTAGGTAGCAGGTGCCGGCAAGGGGCCTTGCACAAGAAGAGCACGAGGAGTGCAGCAGTTTGTGTCATGTCAACTGTGGAGTAGCCGTTGCTTGCTGACCAGCTTGAGGCGATGCCAACTTTGATCAACCCAGCCTAGCAACCAGGCCCTCAGATTGGTTTTAGGGAGGCTGATTGCTTAGGGTCGCCCATGTGAGAGCCCATGTTTTTCAGGGTCGGGTTTTGGGCGTGGCATGTTTTTTCAGGCCAATTGTTTTTTTTAGTCTGACTTATCAGGCCTACATTTTTGTAGTTTCTGATTCTTAGGTCGGATCGGACTTCACTGCATACAATTCTTCTCGTCAGATTCCTGCCTGATTTTAACGAAGGACCAATCAACCCCCTCACACTTCCTCCAGCTCGCCTGGAACTTGTGTGATTCTGGTCAAGGACCAATCACGCCCCCCACACCTGTTGTACCTCGCCTTGAAGTTCCGTGATTGTGGTCAAGGACCAATCACGCCCCTCACACCTGCTCTAGCTCGCCTCGAACTTGCGTCATTTTTTGTCAAGGACCAATCACGCCCCACACACCTGCCCCACCTCGCCTCGAACTTGCGTGATTCTGGTCAAGGACCAGCCATGTCCCTCACACGTGCTCTAGCTCGCCTTGGCTAATAAGATTCAGATTCAGGGCGAATTTCGAGTAAGGCTGATTCGTCAGGCTCGGTAAAACAAGAACATACTATTTTTCAGGCCTTAGAAAATGGGAACACATAAATTTCAGGTTTGATAAAAATCAAAACCTGAAAAATCAGGGTATGCCCTAGAAAACACCCTGATATACAGGCTTTCAGGCCTTTTTGGCCTGACTTCTGAGGCCCTGCTAGCAACCCAGCAGCAGAAGGGGGTTTAAAGCCCCTGGCTAAAAACACAAAGCAGGGGCTCACTTGAAACTTGTATGTTTTTTGCTGGCAGTAAAAAATTCCTGCTTTTGGCTCTGAACAAAAATGAATCACAACCAAAACCTGAAGCGAGAAGGGGCGAGGACATTCATTGGCGCGCGGCACTGGCAGTGTGTTGGCGACACCCAAAGTGGCCACAAGACGAAACCTACATCGTCGCCCAACCTAGCCCAACGACGACACTGGCAACCAGCCTCTCCCGGGGCGTTTTCAAGAGGACCCCCACTTTGCTTTTGGTGCGGTGTACTCGCTAGTCATTCTGCTAGAACGTAGCGTTTTATGCGGGAGAGTAACGCGATAGGAGCCACGACTAACGCCTCCGAGCGACATTCCGTCAAAGAATGCAGGATATACTCGCGGCACGGCGCCCTCGTCCAACAGTGCGACACAAGGACCGCGACAAGCTGGAAAAACGCACATCCGCTAGCATATAGGTAACAGCAGTCCACCGTTTCGTCGTGTTACCCTCCCCTCCTCGATCTCCCATCGCGCACTCGACCCTCCCCCCTCCACCGTCGCGAAACAATTCTCTTCCCCGTCTCCCGTCGCGGTACTTCCCAAACTAGCATATCGTCGCGTTACGGGCTTCTCCTTTCACTCTCATCCCGCTCTTGTCCCTCCCCTCTCATCCGTCGCGACGCGCCACCCACCCTCATTTTCCGTCGCGTTACTTCCCAACCCATGCTACGATTGCGATATGGGCCCCTCATGAACGCGTTACGCCTCCTCGAACTCATCGCGCTTTCCTCACGCCGTTTTCTACCGTTCCACAACTCTCCCCTCGCTGCCCCCGTATCCCGTCGCCCGCGTTACGCTTCCCACCCCTCCCTCCCGTCGCGAGGCGCTCCCCCCTCACACCCCACCATTCTTTCTCCCCAGCCCCCCTACTTCCCATACCGTCCTTCCACTTCTTCCTCTCGACGCTCTCCCCACTCCCGCGGATGGGAGTGGGGGAGACATAGCAGAAGGATAAGGGGAAGGAAAGGAGTAGGAAAGGGAGAGAGAAGAGGGGCTGGCTCAGAGGGAGGTGGCAGAGAGGGGAGGAGAGATGGAGAGGGACATGAGAGAGAGGGGGAAACACAAAGGAGAGGGGGATGGGAGAGAGGGGATGACATCCCGAGAGGGAGCGGGCGGGGACGGGCAATATTCAGAGGGGGATAAGGCCTAGAGAGAGAAAGGGGAGAGGGGACAGGGATGGGAAGGAGAAGGGAGGGAAGGATATGGTGGAGTGGGAGAAAGGCGAGTGGGGGAAGGGGCAGGGCGGGAGAGGGGAGAGAGGGATAGTGTTAGGAGGGAGAATGGAGAGAGGGTCGTGGGGGTGGGATATCGAAGAGAAGGATAGGGATGGGAGGGAGACGGGGGAGTAGGATAGGGATGCGAGAGTGAATGGTGAGGGGGGGAAATGGCTGGGAGGGTGACGGGAGAGGGGGATATGGATGGAAGTGAGATGGGAGAGAGGGATAGGGGCTCAAGCGAGAAGGCAGAGGGGATATGACCGAGTGGTAAAAAGGAGAGAGGGGGATGGGCTGGGAGGGAGAGGGAGGGAGAGGGAGGGAGAGGGAGGGAGATAGGGGGAAAGGGATGGGAGGGAGAAGGGAGTGAGTGATTGTTGTGAGAGTGGCGGGAGAGAGGGATATGGATGGGAGGGAGACAGTTGAGAAGGAGAAGGCAGGGGGGATAGGGCTGAACGGGAGAGGAGAGAGACGGGTATGGGGCTGGGAGGGAGAGGGAGGGAGGAAAGGGGTTGGAGGGAGAAGGGAGAGGGGGAAACATGGATGGGATGGAGACCGGAAGGAGGGATAGAGACGGGAGGGAGACGGAATAGTGGGGGACATGGCTGGGAGGCAAAAGGCGGCGAGGGATAGGGCTGGGAGGGAGAATGGAGAGAGGGATATGGATGGGAGGGAGGCGGGCGAGAGTGAGAAGGCAGAGACGTACGGGGCTGGGAGGGAGAATGCAGCGAGGGATAGGGCTGGGAGGGAGGGGGATGGGTAGGGGATGGGGAGGTAGATGGTAGAGTGGGATGGGGAGGGGATGGGATGGTAGATGGCAGAGGCGGATGGGGAGGGGATGGGGAGGTAGATGGCAGAGGGGGTTGGGGAGGGGATGGGGTGGTAAATGGCAGAGGGGGATGGGGAGGTAGATGGCAGAGGGGGTTGGGGAGGGGATGGGGAGGTAGATGGCAGAGGGGGATGGGGAGGTAGATGGCAGAGGGGGTTGGGGAGGGGATGGGGAGGTAGATGGCAGAGGGTGTTGGGGAGGGGATGGGGAGGTAGATGGCAGAGGGTGTTGGGGAGGGGATGGGGTGGTATATGGCAGAGGGGGATGGGAAGGTAGATGGCAGAGGGGGATGGGGAGGTAGATGGCAGAGGTGGTTGGGAAGGTAGATGGAAGAGGGGGTTGGGGAGGTAGATGGCAGAGGGGGATGGGAAGGTAGATGGCAGAGGGGGATGGGGAGGGGATGGGGAGGTAGATGGCAGAGGGGGATGGGGAGGGGATGGGGTGGTAGATGGTAGATGGGGATGGGGAGGGATGGGCAAACGCCAAGAGAGATATGGCAGATGTGTGTGAAAGCAGAGATAGGGCATGCGGTCCGGGGCGACACGATGAGGTAGAGAGCTGAGGCGATTGACGCCTGGCTGGAGGCACAGAAGGAATGACCCCGGCTGAACATGGGGACTCCATGCAGGGAGAACAGCATAGGATTGATTGGGGTCTAGGGAACGTCTGGGCTCTCCAAACCACGCTGTACTCTGCATGGCTGGGGGCTCAATACTAGACGACCTGGGAATACTTGCATGTAAAGCCAAATCCCATAAGCACCAGGTGTATTGCCTCATCGCGAACAGGCGCACAACCAAACGAAGAGGTAGTGGATAGATTGATGTTGGCACAAACCCCCTTTACGAACGGACGAGAGATAGGCACAGCCTAGACATATTTGTACGAGGGCAACAGTAATCGCGGGATGCAATCGGGTTCAAGACAAAACACGAGGCAGGGGTTCGGAATGCAGAGTCCTGGCACAAGCACAGCTGCCACCAGTCTGGAATCCACTCTCCTCTATGTGCCTGACCCCCACAGCCACCACAAGTGCAGGGGTGGCGGGTGGGCAAGAGGCCTTCTGAGCGCTAGATGAGTGTGATTCAGCCTGGTGCCCCCTTGTCCAGCCCCCCCCGGGCACCTCCTCCGTCCATACGGGACGACCGTAAACCCCCCCCCCCCCCCCATCCGCTTCTTGCGACCCGGCGTGTGAAGATGTGATGCAGGATATGCGTGGGGCATAGCCACACCATGCCATCGCAGGAGCAGTGGTCTGAGCACAGCAGCACCAAGTGTCGAGAGCTGAGCAGCTGCGGATAAAGGGAGACAACAAGGGGGCAAGAAAATGCACAAATAATAAACAGATGAGCAAGGAAAACAGCAGACCGCATGGTCATGGTGGGAAACAGCGTTGCGAAACAAGTGAGCAGAGCTGAGGCGGGAGGACACTGATTGATGACATGAAACGCAGAGAGGAAACCTCCCTTCAAACAACCCCAGCAGGACGAAACTTATGAGCAAAGCAATGGGGTACGAAATCGGCGTTGGCAGGGGGGAGCAAGATGTGAGAAATGGGAAAGGAATATGGGAGAGGAGATGGAGATGCGTGGTAGGAGCGAGAGGTGAGACGAGGGAAGGGAAACATGGAGAGAAAACAGGGGTGCGATGCAAATGCGTGGGTTGAGAGATGGGGAAGGAAGGCATGGTGGAAACAGGGAGAGGAAACAGAAATGCGTGGTGGGTGTCAGGGGTGTGAGGTGGGAGATAGGGAAACATGGGGAGGAACCGAGATGCATGCAGGGATTGAGAGGTGAGGGGTGGGAAAGGATGCTGGGGGAGGAAGCACAGATGCATGGTGGGAATGAGAGGTGGGAGGTGAGGAAGGAACTGGGGGAGGAGGCAGAGATCCATGGTGGGAATGAGAGGTGAGAGGTGGGGAAGGAAACTGGTGGAGGAAACAGAGATACATGGTGTGAATAAGATGTGAGAGGTAGGATAGGAAACTGGGGGAGGAAGCAGAGACGCATGGTGGGATTGAGAGGGGAGAGGTGGGGAAGGAACTGGGGGAGGAGGCATAGATGCATGGTGGGAATGAGAGGTGAGAGGTGGGGAAGGAAACTGGTGAAGGAAACATAGACGTGCTGCGTGAGTATGGGGGAGAGGCGGGTAAGGATACTGGTGGAGGAAACATATATGCATGGTGGGGGGAAGAGGTGATGGGTGGGAAAGGAAAAAGGGTGCTGAAATTGGGATGCACAGCAACAGTGCATTAGCTCCATTGTGGGCACCTTGGTGGCGTTGACTAGTGTAGGGTGGCGTCATCAGCCCGTCGAGGGGCAACGAAAGGCCTTCTCACCGCCCCTCTGTCGTTCTCTGTGGGAAGGGGCATAACACCCAGTAGAGTGGGATGGAGAGAAGGAGAAAACAGGTGTTTGGGCTAACAACATGGTTCGACATTTTTGGGCAAATTCCACCATGCCCCCAACCTACCAAAAGGCTTACCCTGCGTCGAGTGGGAGGGGATCGGATTCGCTGGGCCGTAAACGCCATCGGCATATCCGCATTGGTCATCCGCCATGCGCCTAGTATGTCATCCGCCCACCGCCAGTTCATCGGCCCTAGGACGCGATCCTGCCGGCCCCTCTTCACCCTCGTGACACGTCGAAGCCGTGTTATGTGGCGCTTGACCTCTCGCTCGACAGTGTTGTTCCAGTGGATGATAGAAAGTGCTATGCGAGCCTCCATGCTTCCTCGAAACCTGATGCGCTTTGATGCATATTTGCATATAACCGAATGAAAGGACTCATTCAACCAACTAGAGGCCCCGGTGATAAAAGCTGTCATCTTCTCGGCACTACAATGACGCGATAGCCACTGTCGGAAGGCAATGTGTGTCTTCCCTCCAGCTTTGTAAACTGCACTCTCTTTCCCCCACGCATCCGTAATGCATTTAGGCGCGATGCCATGTCGTTCGCACTTGGAATGATCACCCGCCCAGTGCTCGGCGCATATGGCAATCTCCGCAGCCACCTCTTGGGCAGTCATCGGTGTCCCGGCTGCAGCCAATGTGGCGCAGCGCAGCATGATGTGATGGAAGTGTACGCTGAAACGTTGGGCGACACTAACAGCCTCCACCGCCTCCAAAGGAGGCGGATTAGTGGCTGGGGCACCCACTGTGGTGAACTGACCGCGACCGCGCTTGCGCGGGGTTGACCACCTTCCACCTTCGCCACCGCCTGCAGCCCCTGTGCTCGACTCGGGCCTTCCTCCAACGTGTCTTCCACATCCGCGTCCCCTTCACCATCCCACCAGCCGCGTTGCTGCAGGTCACCAATCTCCTCGCGCGTGGCCGCCAACTCGTCTAAAGATCATGCAGGTGGTATGGCATAGGCAGGGAGAAAGGCACATGGGCGCACGTGCGGGCGAGTGGGGAGAGAGGGTGATGGCATTGGGGGGGCGTGGGCCATGTGGCGTGGGCGACGACGTGCGATGGGACAAGCAAAAGATTTTGTGCATGGGGAAAGGTGGGAACGGTTTCTACATGTCGACCCTGGACTGGTTAAGGTTAAAGATAAAGAAACGCAGCACGCATGCACAAAGCTCACCTGCCTCTGACCAGGTCCATTGTTGTCCGACCGGTGCATCCACCTCGTCCTGCCTCCCAGCGATACTCTGGACCAACAATTATTGTGTGATGTCATCATATGCTATCACATTCTGTCTGCCTCTCATCTCTTGTTTCAATTCGTATGTATGGTTTGACTGTGTGTGAAAGAATTTGTGTGTGGTGTGTTCTGGAGTTTGGGAATGTGTTTTGTGTTATTCTGTCTGAGCAGGTATTTGTGATGATAGATCTTGAGAAGATCTTTCCGACGCAACAAGAATCGCTTCAATCGGAGCAAGAACGCGAAAGCTATGAAGATTCAAAGTTCATGAGCTTGCGTTACAATTGCGGCGGTTACAAAGTGAAGTTGTGGGGTGACTTTATATGGAGTTGGGACCTTTGGGGTTGGGGAAATTTGTCACTCTACTGTAACAGCTGCAAATTGGTTGGGAACAACCAAGCTAGGTTGGCAAGGGTGGCCAACTTGGATGGATTGGTTGGGAAGGGACAAAGGTCAAAGTTGAGGTTCCTATAGGGAGGGAATCTTTGTGCTTATGGGGTTTCCTTGGTTGGGGACTCTCTTGGGACCTTCCCTCTCGTCCCTCTCCATCTATCCCAACCTTTCTCTTGCTCCTTCTAATTCCTTGTGAGATTCTTGAACTTTGATTGAACTTTTGAGATTGAGTTAAGTTCTCCTCCTACAGCTTACCCCTCAGTGCGTCGAAAGACATAGCGTCGCGAATACTTCATCAATCGACGTGATTCAAATTGAGAACGGTAGCTAAGATTGAGAGCTACAACATATCCGAGTTTCGCGACATTCCAACGGCTATTTTTTCGTCGACGTTGTTTCTTGTGAAGACGACTTTTCTGTCCAGAATTTGGATATATATTTTGAGTAATTCTAGCTCCTAAGTTCACCTAGACTCCGTCCTTAATCCTAACAAGTGGTATCAGAGCTGTATTAAGGACATTGAGAGGAGTCTACAGAAGTTTGAAGACCCTTCTAGACCCACCATGGCCTGTGGGTGTGCCTAAGTGGTGTTCTAAAGGTTGGATGTGTCTTCCGCTAAGGGGAAACTCTGCCGAAATTTCGTGGACGCCGACACTTGTGAAAATATCGAGGGAGCTGAGTGTGGACAGCAAAGGGGAGCTGAAATTCGTCATTTCTCAAGGAGAAGATGAATGAGAGAGGAGGAGATGCTAATGGAAGAGGAGCTGTACCTGAGAAGACAAGTGAGCCGCCGCCATCAAAAGTTGAAGCTTTGGATGGCTCCAACTATGAGGAATGGAGCGGACGGATGAGGAGTGCCTTCAAACGCTACAAGCTACTGAAGATTGCTGTTGGGGAAGAAAAGATGCCTGAAGAAGGCGAAGCACGCGAACGGTGGATTGAGAAAAGCGCGGTGCTTTTCGACCTCATCCTTCAATCGGTCAACAAGGAGATGTTCGAGCACATCAAGGATCTTGTGGAAGCAGATGATTCGGGTCCAAGGGCGTGGAAACTACTACGCGATGTGATTCAGCCCAACACTCTCCTGATGGTGATCGTGCTCGAGAAGGAACTTGCTGCCATCTCCATGCGACCAGGGGACGATGTGAAGCCGGTCCTTGACAAGATCAAGGACACCTATGCAAGGATGGCAGCAGCAGGCAGCAGTGTATCTCAGCTGCAGCAGTGCACCAAGATCATCTCGGTGTTGGACAACTCTTGGGACAACCTCATCCCCACCCTCAACTCTCAGCAAGATCAATGGACACCTGAGTGGCTAAGGCAGCAGATTCTGCAGGAGGACTTCCGCAGACGCCATATGGGAGGCGGTGCTGCCACTAAGACTGCTGAGGGGTATGGAGCTGCAGGGCGCGGCAGAGGAAGAGGGGGTTGGAGAGGCCGAGGCCGTGGGAGGAGCTTTGGCAGAGGTAGAGGCCGAGGTGACTATAATGAGGGGCATGGGAGCTCCAGTGGCAGGGGGAGTACCAGAATGGAGGGCACCTGCTGGTACTGCAAGAAGGTCGGGCATCCTTGGTTCAAGTGCTTCAGCAGGCCGGAGGGATGGGCACCTCCAGGCATGAAGCCGCCCAGTGGTGAACGCGCACAAGGTGGCGCTGTGCAAGGCTCAGGTGCACAAGGTGAAGGTGCACAAGGTAATGCCTATCCTGGTTTGTTTCTTATGGTTGAGGATGTGCATGGGCATGAGGGTGATGTGGGATCTGTGGGAAAGGTTGTGATGCACCCTCTCATGCACTGGGTGATTGATTCGGGTTGCATCAGTCACATGACCCCACGGGCAGATTTGCTTGATGAGGTAAAACCCCCTGGGAAGATCAAGTATGTGGCAGCAGCGTCAGGTGCTTTGCTCCCTGTGATTGGCGTTGGGAATGCCAAGGTTAAGGGAGCTAATGGGGAGCTTGTGGGGCTTGGGAATGTTCTGCTAGTTGAAGGTTTGTCTGCTAACCTTCTCTCTGTGCGGCGACTGCAGAAGAGTAAGGCCGAAGTGACCTTTGGACCAACCAGCTGCCGTGCTAAGCTTGGGAAGAAGGTGCTGTGGAGTCTGGAAGAAGAGACCAGCTGCATCAAGGACCTGTGGCAGCTGCCCATCATCCCTTGGAATGGGAAGACTCCAACAGCAGCAACGGCAGCAGCGGCAAAGGCAACAGCAGGAGGAGATGCAACTGCACCAACTGATGGGGTCCTGGAAGCAGTCAAGAAAGTGCACCAGCAGCAGACACATAGTGAGGTGCTTGCTGATGTGGATGCGAGTGCGGCATGGGCTAAGGCTTCATC